TGATCGAATAAAATTCTTCTTATCGTAAATATAATTTAAAAAAATTCGATTTCTGATATTTATCCGTTTTGCGATGTCTTCAATTTATTTATTTTTAATAAAATCCTAATCAATATTTTAGTGAGTCCTGTATTGTTAACTCCCTGTCAGTATTAAGATGAATAGTGCGCATCGATAGTAGGATATTTCCAAAGTGAATAGATATAACTCAAACTAACAATTTTTCTTTATTCTTAAAAACAAACCTTCGAAGAAATCATCTTGATTTCAATATTTTTCTACGACAATAAGAAATTCATTATTTTCTTTGATAGTTTATTGTAGATAAATAAAATAAGATAAACGTTGAAATATAAATAAAGGTGTTTTTCATATAATTTAATTGAAATATTTCAATTCTATAAATATAAATAATGGTAAATTGCCTTATTTATTGTTGATTATCTATTGTAATTTGTTCTAATAAGTGAAACATATTATATTGTGATTGATAAATAAATATTATAGGTTGTAGAATTAATTTTGTTAAATGGTCAATAACCATTTAATAGAAAAGGAATTAATATTGATTTATATATTTGTTTTAATTGAACTTGTTCGAAAAATAAATTTAATAATTCCGTTTGTTTGTTAATAATTAATATATGATTTTCAATTAATTTGTCAATATGTTTTATTATATTAAATTGTTGATCATAAGATAATTTTAATTTTAATTGATTATTATTTATAAATAAATCTTTAATTAATTGTAGATATTCATATGAATATTTTAAAAATATTTTCATCATATATATTATGGAAATAATTTCTATAAAGTATGTGAATTAATTTCGATGTTAAATAAAATATTGTTGCTCATTGTGGAGAAAATATAAATTATTCTAACCATGATTTATTATTAGATGTTAAAGAAAACAAATTCTTATTCGAATCGTTGATATCTTATTTGTTTTCATAGAAATTTTTCAATATCAATTCAAATAAATATTTCTTGTTATTTTTTCTAATTTAGATAAATTTAATAAAATTTCAAAAAACAATAACAGCAGAAAGACAGGAAGCTCATTGCAGAACATAACACCTTGTGATTTTTCTTCACATGGAACAAAAATTTTTCTAAAATTTCCCCAAACGCGCGTTCCCGCACATGGCCAGATTTTGCACGGTTGCTCAGGGATGAGCCAAATCTCGGAAAAAGTTATGTCAAAAAAGAATGATCACGTAATCAATCGACTTGACCTTTCTTCCCTACGTGATATTTTTGGGATCTCCTCCTTCCCTGTTATGATCCGTGCTCATGCACAAGATCATATACGCTATCTTCCTTTCTCGCTTATCCTCTATATACTAACTTTTATGTTCCTCTTCATTGGTTCTCTATTCTCTTGTGTATTTTATTTGTTGTTATTCATTATCATTATTATTACGTGTGTATGTTAAACCTGCAATAAAAATAAATTCACTAACAACTAAACATACACCTTAACACTCCCTAACTGATCACGTGATTTCCGAACAGCTCCTAAGACTATTTGCCAAACTCACAAAAAAAACCTTCTATCTAGGACGAAATAATGCATTGAGATATTAAATATTTATTTATGATGTTAAAAAAAAATGATTTTATAAAAAACAAATTTACATAACAGATGCGTTTTTTTAACGTCTTTTTAAGTAAAAACGTGTGAATTTATAGTTCTTTGAATCTGTTCTTCTTATCACAAGTTTATTTTTACAATGAGTCAAAATCTTCATTCGTCACTCTGACAAAGTTCAAAATTTTGCTGCACACTTTTGCCATTTGACAGAATATTTTCTCTTAAACATACATCACAACAATTTTTTAAAAGTTTGTCGAAAAAGAGTTCCACCCATCGTTGCATAAATATAAAACGATAATGAACTTTGAAATGTTGTCATCAGAAATGTTACTTCACCAGAAAGTATTTCTATTCTTAAACGTAATGGATTTTTTTCTATATCAAGTGTAAGAACTAAATAAATACGTTGAATTGTATTTGGAATATAATGATATCATAATTAAAATAATTTCTCCAATTACCATCTAGAAAATAATATACATATTATAGGAATTTATTTATTTGGTTTTTTTTAGCAACTTAATATATGATTTTCTTACTTGAGTAAGATGTCGATCAATTCGATGAATAGTGTTTCCTTCTAGTCTACTCATTCGTCGACTTCTCTTTACATGTTGTATTGTTCCATAACCAAAAATTAAAATCAACATACTTGGTATAAATACAAGTACTATTAAACGAGCTATTTCATTATAAAGATCACATATACGTCTTGTATTTATTGTACATGCTATTGATGGAGGTGTAACAATTACATCAAGACAATAAATCATATCAACAAATATAAGCCAACAAATAAAAGCAGTAATTATCATCAAACGATGAGCATTATGTAATGAACTTAATTGACGATATTCAATTTGTCAACTACTAATAAGAAATCTATCAACTGTAGCAAAAGCAATAGAAATCATTGATAAGCTTGAAAATGTATAAGAAAGAGATCGACGTATTTTACAAATAATACTAATATTTTCTGATAAATCAAGTTGAAAAGTAGCAAGTATTCGTCATAATGGACTTGTCATAATCCAAATAATATTAACATAAGCAGCTGTAATTAAATAAAATGAACATGGATTTGAACGAAATGTAGGTTGATGAAAAACAAGTATATTGAAGAAGTTTTCAACAAGACCAAGAATAATTATAATCATAAGGACATAACGCATAAGACATAGACCTATATTAGATAAGTAAATGATGATTATATCATCATCTAACGTTGCATTCATTTATATATTGAAAAAATATTTTTGCTGTCGAATGAAATAAAATGATATCCTAAGTATCATTATCATAACATTATTATTGAAGAATTGACGTTAATGTAGTTATCAGAGACTTTTTAAAGACACGATTAGAGTATGAAAAGTTTTTGATAAAAATGAAATTTTTTCTATAGGGTAATATCATTAATGAGAAGCTGTAATCATCTTTGATAATGAAGAGTGTATGTCATCAACGTTCAAATGTCACAAATGTAATCTTGATTGAAATAAAGAGATTAAAATAAATAAGTCAAGATATGGCACTTCGTATTTAAAGTTATTAAATGACAGAATATAGTTCTTTTCTAAAGTATGATGATGAATTTTTTAAAAAGAGAAAACCTCTACCAATAATAACTTGTTCTGGTCAGAAATTAGAAAATATCGTCATTTCTAGTACTAAGATAATTTAACTCGCAAGTTGAAAAAAATGTAAAGAATATTTTCTAAAAATTCTAACTAATTCTAGAGTTGTATAAAAAGCATGTCTATTCTTTGTCGAAAAAAAATTGAAAAGAGGAAGTTTCAGATTTTTTTGTGCCGACTGATTTACAATGTATGCATAAAAAGGAAGAAAATGAAAATAATAATAATGATGCGATATTCATGAATCGTCAATGTATTACGAACTTTCGTTTGGATTCAACTGAGTTCAGACAGAAAAATTCTTATCTATACTAACACTTCATGTATTTTTCTGCTCAGTCTTAGATCCATGGAAAAATTAAGTATATAAATAAAAAAAAACGTATGAGCAATATGGAAATCCATCAGCTGAAATGATGGATAAAAGATATAAAAATATTCGATAAGAGTGCAAAAATAATCTTAAGAGATGCAAAAGAATATAGAATGCTCTCCATAACCCTATCATCATCGACAATTCTACTGCGTGATATATCATCATTGTGATAGATTAATCTTTTCTGTCATCTTATAATAAGGCAGGTAACACAATTAACTCTAAAGAATCAAGGCTCTTTTAGTATGATTATTAGTGAAACAAGCCCAAGATATATTTTCTAATATAGCATATTTGATATAGCTTTGATAACATCGGATATTAAAAATAAATACTGAAATAATACCATATTTACATACATAAGAGAGCAATATGTTTAAATAATCCACTGGACATTTTTTTTTCTATGTAACTTTTCACCAAAGGTCACAGAAATACAAAAACAATAGTAAAATTTTCACTGGCACCACAATAAGTGCTATTTGATTCTAAAGTATTTTTATTCTTGATCACAATGCTGTTTTCAGTGTACTAAGTTTAGTTAGTCAAAATATATGTTGCATTGTATATGAAATATAAAAACGATTGTAATCAACACTATTTGATTAATGCTTATCTATAAAGTAAAAGATAAGAAAAAAAAAATTAATAACAATCGTGTTTCTTACCATTCTGTTCAAAGACTATGACTAAGAAAGTTCTAATGATTGATATACTTAGGCAGAATCTCTATTCATTAAGTGCATATAGAAACTCTTCGTCCTTCCTTTTTTTTCTCCAGCGGAAAAAGTATAACAATAAATAAAACATGTTCGTCATTATCATGCTTTGTTCAGTTCACCAATCAATAATTGTATTTTTTAAAGCATCATCTAAAAGAGCAGAATGTCTCTGATACACTGCATTAATTTACTTTGAAAACACTTGAGAGTGTGGGTGTTTAGTTTATTTTGACCAGGGAGATAGATGTGCACATTTGAAAAGGCAAAAAAAACAAATTACATCGCACGAAGTGTATTTAGGATAGGTCAAAGTTTTTTTTCTCCATTAACTGCGATAGATTTATCATCTATAGTTATATTAGTTAGTTCCACTATTCGGACTATTTGTGCTAATTTTTTAGATAATAAAATTAACATTTTCATTGAATAGAATAGGACACGATATTCTCTACTGTATGATGTACTTTGAAATTATCAAGCACATGAGTCCTAAAAAAGTCTAATCAATATTTTAGAGAATGACACGATAGCCAACAACAATTATGATTTCAGTAATGAACCAGTCACCATTCTTAAAGATACAGACAGAATCATCAAACTCATTTCGGATTCATGCGTTCGATGACCTCAAAACACATAATCTAGTAGAAAATTTCATGCGCTATTAGACTCAGTGACATTGGTAATTAGGATATGCGCATCGTTGTAGTTCTAAATATGGATGTAAAGCAAAGACTCTCGACTTTTCATACCCACATCCTATAGATAGATACACATGAGAAAAAATATGTAACATAAGAGATGTTAACTCTCTTACGGATGAAGTAATGAATCATATTAAGTCTGATTTTCTCTGTTATGAATATACACCAACTAAATATAAACTAGAACAATAATTAGGTTAAAACGTTCGCAGACCTTGATTAATGATTGAGATTCCTTCTTGAGAGAGTTAGTTTCCATTTACAGTTAAGTAACTGATATTTTATATTTCATCGAGCTATGTAACTAAGTTCTTAACAAATACATGCATAATTTCAGTATAGAAATAGTTAAATTGATGTGTTGTCGTTACCTATTACTATTTGCAACCATCCTCATATTTTGCTGATACAGAAGAGAACTTGTTCCTTCGTACAATTTATTGGCATTAAAGCTTTTAATGGACGAAATCGATCAATACTTTATGTGAAAAAACTGGATAATGTTTTTGGCATCTAAACACATTCGAAAATACAATTAATATCATAGTCCTTTTATTGTATAAGCCATAGAAAACCGGTGACAATTTTGTCAAAATTTCATAGATACAAGCAGATAATAGTTTCGTGTATCATTTTACACCATTTGTCAAATTATTATACTGAAAACGTGGTAGATATCAATGTTGAAATAAAATCTTTCGTTTTAACGATGTC